CCCCAAAACCCCAAAACCCCAAAACCCCGTGGAGAATTCGAAAAATTGAAATAATGGCTAAGAGTTTCTTAAGAAGGATTTCGTCTGTGTTTACGGATAGAATCAAAGGTTTCGATATGTAAGCAGCTGGCAAAAAGAACTAGATCGTAATTATATTTATAGGTATCCGAAGGTGATCACTTTTACTTATAAAGGTGAAGAGTAAGGAACCTTACAGCACCTAACAACTCTAGTGAATTCAAAACATTGTTTGGAGGAATAATCTCAGTGATCATAAAAGTTATTCTTGTACTCTATACTTACATGATGGTCAGAATCATGCTTGGTAAGCTCTTTAAGTTATTGATAAACTGAGCTTTAGGCAGGAAAGATACGTCCAAGAGCGTCAATACTGTTGTTCATGGTAACTTGGAATTCAGAATATCTTGATAATTTTTAGATATTTTGAATGACAATGATCCAATATCCTTGAAGTATGAATCACAATGTTCTTACTATAATTTTAATAGAGGCACTAACTTCTCATTTGCTTTCAAGGTTGAGAGTGATACAGATTCAAGCTTTTATCCTATCGATGAACCAAACTATTTCTCGATCTTGTTGCAAAAGTATGCAAGAAATGAGAGTAGGTCTCTTTCATTCTTGGAAACATTATTTCTTCAAGTTTAAAGAATCAAAAATAATCATTGACTGAAATAGCAACAAATTCTATTGATGGCAAGTCAGTCTCTTTTTCGTTATGAAATGACAGATTCAACTATCGAAATCAGACTGAAGTAAGGCCTATCTCCACTATATTATAGGTTCAAAAACTCGGGATAAATACCAACTATTATTGTCCAGACACTGATGATTTCACAGTTATTGGGAACACATTTTCTCCTAAATATTAAGAATTTTTTGATCTATCCATTTATGATTGTCCTACAGGAGCTTGTCCGGCAGACCAAGATGAGAGAACAAAAAGCCTGAGTGTAGATATAGTGATAGCAAACACATATTTTGACTTTGACGACTATAAGTCCCCTGTCAAGACTTTTATTGATGATAGATTTTTGTATAAAATGATTCCTGGTTTTCAGAAAAGCTATCTTTCATACATTCAGTAAGAATTTAAATAATTTTTAGAAAAAAATGAAGCAGAGACTCAAGATGGCTTCTTTTCTTACACACCAGATGGAGACGAAACAGAGTTTATAGGAGTCGATACAGTCTCCCAAGAAATCTCTTCAATTGGCGCTGATAACCCGCTCTTTAGTAACAGGAACCTTAACTCTATAGATATGAAATTTGTTAAAGACTCACGCTCGAAGTCCTACGAAAGATCTGTTTTTAATTTTCTAGAAGTCACTGGAAACATGGGAGGATTGTTTGAAATTTTAGAAATCTGAGGGGAATCATTGTGGGGCTTTTCTCTGGCCAGACGTTTCTCTACTCCATCCTTCCAAAACTGTACCAAGTCGATGACTCAAAAGTCGAAGATGGTAAGTTATCAAAAGAATAACTGTGATATAGATCACCATTTGCCAGAAATTATCGAAAATAAAGAAGAACAACAAGATCAGAAAAATAAGAAACTGGATAGAAAAGAAGTAAGGCTTGCTAATTCAGTTTTAGAATCTATTTAACAGAACAGAACGAAAAATGTGATACGAGACAAATTTGGAAGAAAGAACTTTTATAAGAGACAAAGCTATGAACGCAATGAGAAAAAGAATCAAATATGATTGGAAAATCACGGACTACATTTTCAACTTATTTAGATGCTTATCATTCATTTGCTGCTGCTGATGCTGAAATAAAAGATCTCTTAATTTCAGAAATAGACTACGTCTGTACGATAAGGGGGAATCCAAGCTTGCTAAAGAATTAGATGCAGTTCACTTTGTTAAAAGTTTCAGAAATCTCTCTACACTTGTGGCCTCTGTTGTCGATGATAGAGAAAGATTAATGATTGCTTATCAGAAATGTCATTTGTTATCACTTCAGAGTGATACTTCAAACAGCTGTAGTGATGAAAACTTTGATTCCATACCCAAGATGTTTGCAAAAGCAAGCACCAAAGAACTGCACCAAATTAAAGTAGAGAACTTCATGGTATTCAATGAGTTATAATTTAGGCTGAATACTCGAAAGAGAAATGGACCGACAAAGATTATAAACTCTTGAATGGAGTTTTCAATAGAGAAAAATTATCTCGTAAGCTCTATTTTATTAAGATTTTAACATATAAAGAGGAGCAAATAGAAACCTTGATGAATCACATGGACAATGCAAATATTTATCAAGGTATCAATGAGAAGTACTGTTTATCTTAACATATATAAACACCATATAGAATTCCCATAAACTCAGCTGAAGCTCCTCCAGAGTATTTTTCTTATCACCTTGTAGAGAATCTAAGCGTAGTGATCCTTCATTCGATTTTCAGCACACAAACCCTTCCTCAAGCCTGAAGAAGAAGACATCTGGCGGGCCTAAACTGCATACCAGAATCAGGAGTTCCAAGTCTCCTGCTCCAATGAAATTCAAGGATTAAGTTCATAATTTGTTTGAAAAATATTCTTCAATTCTTTATTTTCTACTAAACTCAGCATACAATTAAGTCTTGATAAGATGCATGAAGATTTCAACCAAGTTATTTCATTGTGGGGTTTTGGGGTTTTGGGGTTTTGGGGTTTTGGGGAG